TACAATTAAAATTAATTTCAAGAAAGTATTTATCTCAAGTTCATTACCACCCACCTCCCCACAAGCAGAAGGTATGTGCTATGACATCATGACTGCAATTAAGAAATCTGGCTGGAGATTAGAAATCAGGGATTATGTTGTTCCCCTGATGTTTGTTGTGTGGTAAGTCAACTGGAAGGTAGGAGAGTGGAGAACTTTGAGTAAGGTGACGTGTAATGCATTGCATTAAGGACATTTAAACCAAAAGTCACATTATTGTTGACAGAGCAAAAACAACTCAACAAGAAAAGGCTTACAATATTTCTTAGGTAAGTACCTGCTTGAAATTAATTTCCATCATAAAAATAAAACTAACTTTTTAAACAAATTCAATTTGAGCAAATTTGACTGCTGTTAACAAGTTCTGAAATAATTTCTTTTTAAATGTAGCTTTGTATGTGTGTGGAAACATGACTGTTTATCATGATAAATATTGGTCTAAGGAACTGATTTAAAAAAAATGATGAAAATTAGCTACATTTTTGTAATAAATTGTTAATGTTTAATTTTTAATAACAATGTATACTTGGGTGTGTTGAAGTAAGTTTACAGCTTTTCCATTAATCCTCTATATATATATGAAGTAAAGGTATTATTATACTTTTAATTTACATTTTTTTTTTTGCAGATGAACAACAAGATTACGAGTCTTTTAGAGCATTTTTAACCAGAACTTGCCAAGGAAGCAAGTAGTTGCAGAGTTTTTTATGATTACTTTATTTCATTTTGCTGTAATATCTTTTTTTTCAATAATAAAGATTGTTTTATTTCACATGTTTTTGGGTCATAAAGAAAAGTATTGTTCATGGATAAACATTTTAGTAAGTGTTTTTCAGATACAAAACTAGATCTGTACTTTTGTGAATCAAAGCTCTTGCTTCAGTTGCAGAAACAACTTTGGGTGCAATGTGAATACATGTAGAATTAATTGTCTAACTTCTAAATAACCAGAAAAAAAAAATTGAAGTATAAATATGGAAGTCTTATATTCCTTTTATGGCACACGTTCCAAATGAATTAATCTGTCAATAATAAATATTTTTTTTTCTTTTTTTTTTTTTTTTTTACTAGAGTTACACCTCCTCACCCAAAGTGTTAATGTGTAGACCAAGCTAATTTTTAAGGTATATATATTAATTAAATACTTGTGAGGAAAAATTAATTTTTTTAACAAATTCTCATTTTCTGCATATACTGGATTACATGCATGTAGGGTAAACAGATTTTCTAGCTTATGAAGAAGACAATCACATGATTTTCTATTAAAAAATTTTGAATTATCACACTAATCTTACTGAATTTCTTCATAAATGAATATTAAAACATGTAAGTAAAATAAAAGTATAGATAGTAGCACAGCATAGCTAATTTAAAAATGTTATGGTTTAATGTCTTCTGGCAATTGAGATCTGGTCTGAAATTAACTGTGAAGTTTACATATGCTATACATCGTATGATTTATTATTGAAATCGCTCATTAGTTGAGCTGTTTTAAAAGTTGTACACAAGAGGATCAGTGTAATCCCATGTTAACAGTTTTAATTAATTAAAATTAATGGGTGAGGTATGTATTACACCTGTAACTATTATTAACCTTATTGGATAACTTGTGTGTATGCATTTTCAAGCTCTGTCTCTTGACTATCCATTGGGACCACAATAGTACTTAATTCTCACATTTTTGAAAAATAGCCAAAAACCTGAAATGGGTAATTTTTGCAAAACAAAAGTGATGAAATCTAAGAAGGCCTCACTAAAAAATTGACAAAAACTACTATTTTATCCCAGATTTAACACAATCAACAGATGGAACGTGATTCTGTGGTGTGTCTGCTACATGAATCCACAATCTGCATAAATGTAATTTTAGGGTGACTTCAGTCTTCACCTTTTCTAAAATGGGAGTGTTCACTGATTTAAATATTCCATGATTGTGGAATAACCCATTAGAACTTTGGTCTGACTTAACAGTTTGGTATAGATACAGTTAGCTTTATCATTGTGGAATTGAAAAACTCTGAGGACCTTTTCTGTGCTCCAACAATTATTGTTTCAATGTTACGTTGAAGCCAGCCAGTTCTCATATTGAAGACCCCCAGAAAGTTATTTTATAAATAATAAAGAGTTTATCTTTGTTGTTTACCAGTACTTGAGCTTTGATGTCAAAGTTCATGTTATTCTTTGCAAGTAAATCTTTTCAATCTTCTTGTTATTGCAATATTCTTTCTAATTTTACCTGCAAATACCATTGAATCACACTGTTTTTTATATTTTTTAATTAAGCAATTCAGTCAGTAACAAGATTCTTGTTTCCAGTAACAATGCCATGAACTTAGATTCTAATATATCCACATACTACGTATCAAAGTAAACGTTGCAATTAATTTCATAGAATCATACAGATTTGGTGTTATTACAACATATGTAACTTGCAATGAAGTCAAATTCCAACAGAATTTTGGAATTGTTTAATTACAAACTTATAATAATTCTTTATACAACATTTGTAGAGTAGTAATTACAACTATGTTTTCACCCACTTACTTTTGTTTATGTATGTGAATGAAGTGAGTTCTACAGCTGACAGGTATAAGATTAGTTACATTCCTCATATCCACTAATTTCAAAAACATTCATTTTGAAAGGGCTCCCCCATATATGCTACCATTCAACGATCATCAACAGTGCATTTAATTTATATTCCAATGAAACCTAGTATAGTTAAAAACAATGGTCTACAATAAATTGTGAATTCCTGTTAACAATCTTATTACACAAAGAAAACAATGGTATATTAAACTTAAATATCCATAATGTAACTATCCACAATTAAACCAGTCAACAAATTCAATCCAGTAATATATCATTACTTCATACTCTGTGTTCATCATCTAATCTGTCAGAACTTTATTAATAATAAAAGACAAATTTGACAACAAAAAGTCAGGAAGATGTAGTGAGTTCTATAAACAGCACACATGAGATCAATTCTATTCCTCATATACATCCTCCCTTTGGCACGTAACAATCCAAATGTCTAAATTACAAAAATATGCAGCCTTCAACACAGCAATCCACTACAAATTTATGGCATCCACAGTTAATCAACTGACTAAAACCTCAATCACGTAATATCTTGTTACTTCAGATTCTGTGTTGGTGTCATAACGACTATTAAGTGAAGTCTTTATGTATGCTGGTGTTTCTAGCAGAAGACGTGTTTAATAAATAAATGAAAGAAGAGTGTCACTGAGAAGAAATTTCCTTTGCTAACCGGTCTGAACTAATGAGATAAAATTATTTAGTATTCCAGTGGTTCCATGATCAAAAGCCATTCCATAAAATGCAAGTATTAATGCTATTGCTTTTTCCATCTTGCAAAAGGAAATTACACATACTAATTCAATATTTTATATCAATATTATTATTATTTATTAACTAACAGAAGGTGATGTACACATATAATAAACTAGACTTCTCTATAACTTAAAAAACAAATATATATATATTTTCTCGTTGTTTTTTTGAAATTGTCATTCATGTAAAATTGATCAGAAATACATTCTACTTTAACATATGCATCCAGCATTATAGTACACTAATTATGCCCTTAGAAATTCTTGCATACAGTGAAAACCTTGGCTAAAGACAGGTCTAATTTTACAGTTGGCTGACTTGATAGATCTGTTGTTAAGTGCCTAATGGATTGTAGGTTATGTGTGGAGATAGAGATGTTGGAAAGCCAGTTTCTCTTCTTGTTAAGGGAGTCTTTATAAGGACGCCAGCCACTTGGTAATCTCGGAGTTATAGCAAAGCTATGAGTTTGTAATGTGACTAAGTAAAACACAGTCTAAATTTTTAACACTTGTCGGGATTGATATCTTGAGTTTATTGAGTTAAGAGGATTGTTTCTCACAAAAAGAATGGTGAAATAAAAGGCGTTCCAATGTGGTGTATGGGTATGATTGTATACATGCCAGCTGCACAAAAGCAGCTTGGATCAGGCTGGATTGATCCATATCTAATAATTCAACAAGTTGGTCTCTAGTGTATGGAATATAGCAGAAATGAGGAACATAAAGTGTGTAGAACACATCGATAAACTGAATAGATGTTTTAAACAAATGGAGCAACCACAAAAAAGAACCGTAACAAATAAATAGGAAGACAAGAACGTGGAGACAAATGATTTAACCTTTACGTTAAGAATTGGTGAATAATAATGTTAACTGCGATGAATAATCTAGTAATTGTTATTCGAAAATTAGGTGTACCTGTTACATTGCTTCATTCTGAAAGAGAACGTTTCAATTTTGATGTTGCAATTTTCTGCATGTGGCGAACTTTTAACAATGGAAAAGACAATAGTAATAAAGAGACATCCTATGGAGAAAGAGAAAACACAGTCTTACATGGTATTTTAAAGAACACAGTTTTATCTGGAAATACTAACATAGTTTAATGTAGTATTTCTCAAAAGCATAGTGTAAGGATGTTTTAAGTTGATCAAGTTGAAATATTAATGAATAGGTAAAATTGTCAGTAGAACATTAAGTTTTTGAATAATGACATAGTTATCATAACAAATATATACACGTGGTATACAACAGTGTTTTAATTGGTTGTGGTCACAATAATACATGAACAGTTTTGCTGAATATTTTCTTTATTGCAAAATACAGTGTTAAGGCATGAAAATGTAAGATGTACGTGTAATAGGAGACTGTTGCAGAATATTTAAGTGAAATAAAGTCATTACATGTCAGTTGATCAAGAACTAGTTCACAGTGGTAACAGTTTATTATGACACTCCTTAGCCTATGTACTCAGTTTAACTTTTGTCCAATTAGAACTCACTCAACTTTTACATTTGAATCCAAACTTTCCGTATTTAAGGCCAAGTTCCAGCCATTTTGACCTGACCTGAATAAATGTTCCATTGTTCCTTAGCCCCAGTTCACGTTTTTCTTTCCCTACTATGACTGTTAATGTGGATTCTTCATCGACTTAAGAAACTTTGCAATTGCTCCAGGAAGCCCAAGATTTCCTCTACAGTGAGAGCCGTGAAGTCGTCGTGAAGATGAAGAGTTCCAGATTAATGCTTACCATTAGTGAGCCCATGGATAAATATGTGTTACTTGTTGACACATCTGACTTCAGAGAGCTCGCCATATTGGCAATAAAATCTCCAAAGGTTGATCTGCCTACGACGACTAATGAAGGTCCTTATACCACTAGGAGATTCCCAACCTCGGGTCCTTGGAGTCAATTCTGTCCCATCTGGAGGAGTTTAGCCTCCAAGCAGCCCAGCAGCAGGAGTCTATACCACTTTTGATGTTGCCCAAGAAAGTCACGCCCAAAGAAAAGAAGGCCCTGATGAGTTGTTACATCACAGAGTGCAGCACAACAACTAGGAAGAGGTTGCAGATATGTTTACATCTTTGACAGAACCACTACATCCCAAAGCCCAAGAAGAACTTTTTCACACTAAGTACATCTCAAGGGGCATCCGAATCCCGAGAAGATAAAAGAAAGGTAGGCTCCAACAATGCTATAATATTGGCAACAAAGACCAGGCTGATGGTAGTACAGAATAGCCAGATGGCTAGTCCAATGATTCCTGCCGTTAACGAGGGAGCTTCTACCTCGCGAGCTGGACAAGCTTGAAGATTACTGAATTTATGGTGTCATAGTGAGTGAAGGCCTCAGAAGACATTCCAGAAGAGGCAATGAGTGAAGTTTTCTACCAAACAATCAAAGGGTTTGGTTTGT